AACTAATCAACCCAAGCCCAACCCTCAATCTTAACTACTCAACCCAAGCCAACTCATCCTTCTATTTTTAAATTCGGGCTTGCAACTCGGGCTTAGATTATGGGTAAAAACTTCGGATTAATTTGAGTTACTTATATGGCTAATCCTTACATCGAAAATTTAATATGATTTTGAATTAGTTTTAGATTAAATTACTCTTAAATAAGAAAAAGTCCAAAGACTTTTTGTAGACTTTTAATAAATTACAAACAAATTTTAAAAAAATTAATTCTTCTAAATGTTAAAATACAATAAGTTAAGATTTAAAAAAAAAAAGAAGTTGAAAAGAAAAAAAGTAATCATAGTTTAAATATTATATATAATGTATTTAAAAGTAAAAATATACATGAAAATAATATTAGAATTCGGGTTCGGGTTGGCTTGGGTTGCTAGCACTTCAACCCAAGCCCAACCCTAGTTAAATTTAGGTTGAGATTTTTCAACCCAAGTCCAACCTTAATTGTAAAAATGATTGTCCAAGCCCTAGAAAAATCGGGCTAGACTCGGGTTACCCAATCCAAATTGCATCCCTAGAATAAACTTATAATTTCATATGTTCGTTAAGAGAGTAGGAAAGATAAAGTTTTCATGATTTTACCATTATATCCAATAATATTTATAATATTATAATTTATAGATGATAGTACTATAATTTAAAACTTGTATAATTTAAGATAGTATTTAATTTAAAATTTCTATAACAGTTTACTTGTCTTCCCTCCTTTCTTCTGCCCATTTTTGGGCGGATGAAAAATTGTAGAGGAGGAAGGATAGTCATTCTTCCTATTTTAATTTCTTTTATTATATCATCTCTATCGAACAAAGAAGTTTGTTCTTTCCTTCCTATTTTATCTCCATATCTCTTTTTTCCTTCCTACCGAATATAACGTATTTTAGACCAAAACCCTATCCATGTCACTTTAGGCTCATCTCCCAAAAAATCAATCCCATTTGGATTTTTTAACTGGACATCCACTCACCTTTTTATCCTACTATTTCCTCCATTTTGAGAATCTATATCAAAGGGACTACAATGTTCCAAGTAGTGCAGAAATTGAAGCTTTTTAAGCTCCGATCCATTTGAAGGGAAAATGTAGAGTAGATCCATCTACTTTCTCTCAGTAGATCCTGGCTGCAAAACAAGCTCTCTTATCTTATCAACTTGCCCTTGATTCCACTCATTTGGACTTTTTACTCACAGCACAAGAACAAAGCTCGATGAATACATTAATCTCATGGAAACAAAGGAAAGCATGTAATTAAAACAAAAGCAAGAATCCAGTGGTTGAAAATAGCGGATTGTAACTCCGCATTCTTCTTCAAAAAGATCTCCTCAAGGATAAACAAGAAGAAGATTATCAGTATTCAGAACTTAGATGACCAAACAGTTGATGATTATCAAGGTATCAGACAGGAAGTTATTTCACTCTTCCATAACTTGTTAGGTGCAAATCCACCACATTACTTTAGTACTTCAATCTTGTCTCCCTTTATTTAAAAATTAATCCCAAGAAACCATTTTTTTTTTTTTTTGTCCACTAATCTCCATTCCCGGCCCTCTGACCTTGAAATAAAAGAATATATGTCCATTCTCCTTACAAAAAATAAAAATAAAAAATAAAAAATAAAAAATAATCCCTCCAGGACCAGATTCCTTGTGGATTCAAGGTACCCTACCTTATGCAGTCAAGGTAATCCTTGTTTCTTATTTACGTCTAATCGTTTCCGCTTAATTCATCTTATTGTTGACCCTATGCAAACAACCTTTGTTAAAGGTAGAAAAATTAATCCCAAGAGGTTAGCTCAAGTGGATTAGAACTTGACCATGGTGCCTCATAAAACATTAGGTTTATGGTTTGAATCCTCTTATGACATAAGCAGAAGCTCTATATATATTTATAATGAATGAAAATCCTAATTGATAAGGAAACTAACTGCAACACGAATCCTTATAACATAAGGAAACCTAATACTCGAAAATAAGCATAAAAATAAAGTTTCTCTAAAATTCTAAAAAAAATAGAAAAAGAAACCTGATCAAATAAAACTACTACATATAAAATAGGAGTGCAATCCGAGTTCGTTTAAACAATGGACAAAAATCCCGAAATATTCAACAGGCTTTCTATCGGATAGAAAAACCCCCTTTTGAGGCCCTAAATGATGGTATTTTGCTGAAAAACATGTTAAAAAAACTCTCCTATCGAGTAAAAAATGGACACTTTGGGATCAACCTAGAAAATCTGTCAGCATGCCCGTTTGCCCCATTGGCGGTCCAAACGGGCCATAAAGGCTTCGGTAATCAGTTCTACATAATCTTAAGTGCAAACAATTCCTTGAGGAGAGGGAGTGTGAGTACCAACTAGGAAAAAAAGAAGGTAAAAAAAATTAGTGATACTATTGTCCTGTCTCAAGAGTTCCTTAGAGGGTATCATAAGGTTTCTCTCACTCCTAAATGTGCCATCAAGATGACATTGGAAAAGTCCTTGATTAAGTTAGATGGCCATTCATATTGGATGATCTAGCCATTCCTCGTTACCTACCTCTTTTTATCTCCTAGGTTAAAGCATGTATCACCTCCCCTCTTTTTTAATATCTCTAAATGGGAAGTTACATGGGTATTTTAAAGGTCGGTGTTAAGGGGCTCTGAGGATATCAAAGGCGGCATAGGTCGGATCTAACCCACATGATGAAGAATGGGCTAGGCAAATGGCCTGGGCCCAAATCAAGCTGTCATGAGGCAAACCCAATGCCGAAAAGTGAAGCTGAAGGCCTGAAAGACGAATGGATCCATGGATACAAAAGCCTCGATGATGAGCCCAATAGGGGAAGTTAGTTAGGGATTTTCTAGAACATTGTAAACAATCTATAAATAGGTGAAAAATGAAGGAAAGAGGGGATCGAAATATTTGAAGTGTAATGAAACTCTATCAATTTAGAGAGAGAAAATTTCTTGCATCTTCAATGGCGCCGTTCGTGGGAATCGATGAGAATTCATTGATGTTTCACTCAGATTGATGTGATCTAGTAGTGTAGCGCATGAAGACGAAGCCTGATGGTTGAAGGCAGAATCAAGGTCGATGAAATCGTGATCGGAGAAGTTGGCGTTCGATCTACGTAGTGCTGATTTGTGCTTGTTTTGGAGAGCTGTGCGGTCGAAAGTTGCTGAGATTGCTGAATTTGGCAGATTCGTCGCCGGAGCAACTCAGATCTGGTTAATCGCGATCGAAATTCAGCTGAGCTAGAATCCAGATCTAGAGCGTCTGCATTAGCAAAGCTCAGATCTGATTAGAAATTCGTGGTTAATGACTTTGCTACGATCCGGAATGATGATCGGAGGAGAGAGTTTGAATCTAGTGGAGAATGGCCAGCAGATGAAGCTTGATGAACTGATGAACATGATCGAGGCTCTGAGAAAAGAAAATGCAGAGTTGAGAGCTGGAATGGAACGCTGAGAGGTTCCGGTTGCATCGCGACCGCCTGCGGTGGGTGAAAGGGGCGTACGACCTGATGAAACACATCAAAGCGAGCAAGAGGGATATAACCACGTCGATCTCCACCGCGAGGAGGTTAGGATGGAGAATTTACCGCCAAACGCTCGTCAAGCTGAGGATCGAGAAGGATCTGTACATCTCGATCCACATCGAAAATATATCCGGCGGGAAGAAAATATAGCTTTCAATCCGCATCAGGAAAGGTATAATCATGAATAGGATATGGAGTTTGATTGTCATAAGATTAACTCGCCGTGGCAGAAAGAGTTCAATAAGGAAAGGTCGTTCGATCCATCTTATCGGCCTTCAATGGCCACATATGATTATAGGAGTTCGGAAAGAAGATCTACAGATCAAAGAGTCGTCACGAGGTTTGAAAGAGAGAATGAGGCCCTCTGTTCGGCAGTGCGGATGGTTGATTCGCCGTTTACTGACGAGATCCTGAATGCTCCAAGCCCGAGGAAGTTTTCTATGCCTGTTTTCATTCTGTTCGACGAAACGACCAATCCAATTGATCATGTATACCACATTCAGTTGAAGATGGCACTGAATACAGAGAATGATCATTTGATGTGCAAATGTTTTCCTACAAGCTTAGTTGGACCGGCACTCAACTGGTTCAAGAACCTGCCAAGGGGCTCAATGGACAGTTTCTGTAGTTTGTGTGACCGGTTCATAAGCCAGTACTATGGGAATAAGCGCCCCGCAAAAGATATCTCTAGTTTGTTCACCATGAAACAGCATGACGATGAACATCTCCAAGCTTTTCTTACCAGGTTTAACCTAACCAAGAGCATGGTGATAGAGTGTCATCCTTCCATAGCAGTACAAGCGTTCAAGTTAGTAATGACCCGAGAGACACCGTTCCATACAAGTCTGGTGGTGAACACGCCGAAGACAATGGACGAGCTGAATGAGAGAGCTGATGATTTTGTGTGCCTGAAAAAGGAAGAAGTAGCTAATGCTAGGAAGACATCTATCATCTCCACAAAAGAGAAGTCCAAAGCGAAGATACAGCAGAAGCAAGTTCCTACTCAGCGTCAGACCTCCTGGAAGGCAGAGAAAAGACCTAGGGAGGATGATTTGGTTACTTCACTCAAGGTTACACTGATAAGGCTATACCAAGAGAACAAAGATAAGTTTCGCCCTCCCTTGCCAATTAGACAACCTCTTAAGCAGAGGGATCAATCTAAATATTATGTTTTTCATAGTGATTTTGGTCATCAGACTAATGAATGCAGGAACTTAAGGAGACAAGTGGAGATGCTGATCACTAGGGGAGAGTTTGTAGGGTATGTTCAAGGACCAACCCAAGAGCAAAATTAACCAATTGAGCAAGTCAAAAGAAATCAAAAGCCGAATCACCATAACACTCAGCCCGTTCAGATTATAAATGTGATTCATGGTCGACCTGAACGAGCCAAAGAGTCCGAAGAATTGACCCAAACGTGTCTTCGATAAGCACAAATGAAGAGAAGAATAGGCAGTGTCAACACTCTGCACCAGCAGAGCGCATCAACACAGATAAGATTTAATAAAGCGGATTTGATGCAAGTTCAGATCCCTCATGAAAACCCCCTGGTTGTTAGTTTAACAGTGGCAGAGTGTTTGGTACGAAGGGTGCTAATTGATCCAGGAAGCAGTGCCAATATCATGCCTAGAGTCACTTTCGATCGGCTCGAAATCAAGCCAAAGGAGCTCAAGTGTACTGGGAATCCATTGTTGGGATTGGATGGAAAACGAGTTGAACTGATCAGTACAGTAGAATTGCTTGTCCGGGTAGCCGAATAGGACCTTATTGAGAGCTTTGTGGTGGTGGAGATCCATCCCTCTTACAATCTGTTGATGGGGAGGGGGTGGATTCATAGGGTACAGGGAGTCCCATCGACCCTGCACCAAGTGATGAGATACTTGGGTCCGGATGAAAACAAAGTGATTGACATCCATGGAGATCAGGTTGCCGCAAAGGAATGTTACTCAGTGACTTTGAAAGCTGCAGGGAAGGGAAAAGCTCCCATTCGCCCAGCTATCCCATAATAGCAATTAAAGAAACCTCCCCCCGGCACGAGCGGGGAGGAGCTTTTGGTGCAAACCGAGGAACCCCTAGTTAAAGTTCAAATTGATCATTTAAGGCCAAATCGAACCACAAAGGTAGGTTCAGGGCTTGCCGAGGAAGAAAAACGTCAATTGGTTGATTTCCTCTCCCAGAACGCCGATGTATTCGCTTGGAGCCATCTCAACATCCAGTGGGCGTATAGAACGACTCCAAGGCGACCGACCGGAGAAAGCCCATTCGCCATGGCGTATGGTACTGAGGCAGTAATACCAATAGAACACCAAGTTCCTATCATTCGGAGTTTAGCGTGGAATCAGGAGTAGAATGATCATATGCTGAAATTCAACCTCAACTTGCTTGAAAAGAAGAGGAATGCTGCAGCAACAAGGTTCGCATTATATTAACAAATGCTCATAAACAGTCACAACAGAAAGGTGAGGCATAGGGGTTTTGCACCTGGTGATTTGGTTCTGTAAAGAAAAGTTGGTATTAATAAGAAAATGGTGTCACCATGGGAAGGTCCGTATAAAGTTGCAGAGGTTATCAGAAAGGGGGCATATGTTTTAGAAACCATAGCTGGAAGGCTGGTAAACAAGCCTTGGAATGCCACTTCTTTAAAACGGTATTATCAATAAAAATTGAGTTTTAGTTTAACCAATGTCTACCTTCAATTGTATACTTGCAAGAGAGCAAAACTTTGAAAGATTTATAAAAAAACATCGTCTTCTTCTAACAAGGTGACTGAGTATGAGTAAAGGCAAGTGGCAAGTGGCATTCTAGCCAAGCGCCAGGCATTTAAGCAAAGTAAGTGGCAACTAGCACTACGAGCCGAATGCCAAACACTTGTTAAAAAATAATGAAAAAGCTAAGTGGCAAGTGTCATTCTAGCCGAGCGCCAGGCACTTAAGCAAAGTAAGTGGTAATTGGCACCACGAGCCGAACGCCAAACACTTGCTAAAAAATAATGAAAAAGCCAAGTGGCAAGTGGCATTCTAGCCGAGCGCTAGGCACTTAAGCAAAGTAAGTGGCAACTGGCACCACGAGCCGAACGTCAAACACTTGCTAAAAAATAATGAAAAAGCCAAGTGGCAATTGGCATTCTAGCTGAGCGCCAGACACTTAAGCAAAGTAAGGGGCAACTGGCACCACGAGCCGAATGCCAAACACTTGCTAAAAAATAATGAAAAAGTCAAGTGGTAAGTGGCATTCTAGCTAAGTGCTAGGCACTTAAGCAAAGTAAGTGGCAACTCGTACCACAAACCGAACGCCAAACACTTGCTAAAAAATAATGAAAAAGCCAAGTGGCAAGTGGCATTCTAGCAGAGCGCTAGGCATTTAAGCAAAATAAGTGGCAACTGGCATCACGAGCCGAACGCCAAACACTTGCTAAAAAATAATAAAAAACTAAGTGGCAAGTAGCGTTCAAGCCGAACGCCAGGTACTTGCTAAAAGTAATGAAAAAGATAAGTGGTTGGTGTTATTAGCCGAAGGCCATACACTTGTGTTAAAAATATATATATATATATATATATATATATATATATATATTATTAAGTACTACCAAGTGATGCAGAGATTTAGATCAGATGTAGTCAAAAATTATCCTTTCATTCATTATAAGTTGAAAAATTACAAAGAGATACATAAGATGGGTACAATCAAGTTCTGTCTGTCTCCTCGTTTACCTGCTCACCCTCGGCAGCCTCTCTAGGACGGTTAGCATTCTCCTCTGTAATACCCCTACTTTTAAAAAGGATAAAATGGGAATTTACTTTTTTATTTTTATTTTTACTGCCGGAATTTATTTAATTAAGTGACTTATGTGCTTATATGCTTATTTGACTTATTTGACTAATTGTGTTCATTGGACTTATTTAAATTAATTGATTAATTGTAATTATTTATTTGTTTATTTTATTGGTTAATTATATTATTTGATAAATTGGTAATTATTTAATTAAGTTAATTATTGGATTATTTTGTGTCCACAGTTTATTTTGTTTTACGTTTTGTAAGTTAGGGTTTTATGTCTCACATTGAAGCCGACTTATGGTTAGTATAAGAATTAGGTTTTGGTGATATTTGAAGCCTATAAATACTATATGATATGTCAACTTAGGATTTAAAAAGACGAAACCTTTATTTCACGTAATGGAAAAAAAAAAAAAAAAACAGAGAGTTATAGAAAGGAATACAGAGAGAGATACAGAGAGGAAGTCTATGGTTTTGTCTTAGGCTACGGTTGGACCAAGGAAGGATTGAAGGGGTTGTACGTGTGTGGAACCAAAGAGAAACAGATGGATTGATCGGTGAAGGATTTTCCTGAAAATCTAGACACGACAGTTAGAGATTTTAATCCAAAGTCTCAAAGGCAAGTCTCTGTTCTACTCTATCCCTTAAATCTGTGTTCTGTGCATGCCTAACTAGACTCCAGGGGTTTAATGAATGCTAAAATTGAGTAATTATGCATGCTTAGTTGGACTAAAACAGAGGGTGTATGATTTTGTTTTCATATTCCTGTTTTGAATGATTCTGGAAATTGTTGATGTACAATTGATGTTTAAGTTTAATCTTTGCATATTAAAACCTTTAAAATAGTTTAGTATGGACATATAGGACTTAGGTTGAAGCTTAGAGGCTTTAACTATGGAGTTTTAGGGTTTATAAAGGCTGAACAGACGAAGAAGATGACTTCAGCAATAACTTAGCCGACTAAGTTGGGAACTCAGCCTGCTAAGTTGGCAACTCAGCCAGCTAAGTTGGACCGTGACTTGAATGTTGGTTTTAATTGCCCAGAATTATTTGTAAACCTATTTTAATTAATCTAAATGGGTTTAATGGACTTAGGAAGATCCCAGAATGCATCTTATATTTATATATACTAAGAATGTGGATGGTTTGAAAATTTAAATAACTTATATGTTGTTTAGATCGGATGGAAGGGTAAATTTAATTGCTTTGACAATTGAAATTAATGTTTCAACGAATTAAACAATGTTCATGAAACGTTATATTTGTTTATCTGAGATGTATGTTAGTGACTTGGAGTGTAAGTTAGCTGCATGCTATTTAAACTGTGGTATTGCTTAAATAAATGCAATACTTATCTGTATGATGTGTATCATATTATCTGTGGATTAAATTGATGTATTATTTTTATATTGCATCATTTATTGGATTGGATGGTTTAATCTTGGTATCAATTTATTGATGATTTGGAAAATTTAAATGCTATGACTTATTATAATTGTTTAAATTGTTGGAGCATGATTTTTAGGTTCTGTAATGAATGCCTAATGTCATGATATATGTATTAAACCGTAATTATGCATAATTGAAGAACTGTTAAAATGTATGTTCGATCAATTGTATGGATGTGGATAATTTAAGTTGTTTATCATTACTTTAACAATTTAAAAGGAGGATTTATGATTATAATCATATACTAGATGCATGATAGGATCGTAATAATATCTAATTTCTATTATGCTGGTTTTTGGATATACTTGATGTTCATTTAAGTGTGCATCATTTGTGAATCATATGCATTATATGCACTGGTATGTGACGGTGGCATATCAGAGATGGATTAGATCAAAAAGCTAAATCCTTCCTCTTCATACATACGGAATGGATTAACTAAAATAGTTAAATCCTACATGGATGCATGTCCTGACAACTAAACCAGTTGAACGACATAACGGATATTTAAATAACAATTATTGTTTTAACAATTATGTTATTTGGAGGATTGTATGCACCGGTATTGGACGGCGGCATACTAGGAATGGATTAATTCAAATACTGCGTCTTGCCTAATTTGGATTGGGGTATGGGTTAATAATAAAGGTTAAGTCCTACTCGTGTTTGTGTCATATCAATAAAGAATTGAATGACCTACTTTGGTTTCTGGATGGATTGTTATACATATATCAAGCTACTGTATTAGATGGATGATATTTTGTATTAGGAGGACACGGACTTTATATATTTATGAGATGGTGCCATGGTATGAGCTTGAGTCTCAGAACCATGGTTAGGGTACGTATATCTCCTAGGATGGATAATTGGACATAGGTGTTGTTCCCTGGTAGGTTTAGGTACTCATGCCTACCTTTGGGTGCGTTTTTGCATGTTGCCTTCTATTCAGGTTGAGACAGACCTATTAGACTAGCGAGCGTCCTCTAATGTGTAATATAAACATATATGGACTACTCTAGATATTGTTGAGCTATCTAGGATGTATCTGCATATCAGATTTCTATATAGATCGTAGTAGGATAGGACTTGCATGTGGGTCTGACCCACTCTCTTATTTTTTTCAAGAGCTTGTCAATTCTTGTGATACCCCTCGAATCCGAGACATGGATAGATCAGGCCCAGGCCCAAACCCGAGGGAAATATCAAACAATTAATATGTAACCGAACACAGAATACAAGATAAGATAAATAATAATAATAAGCTGGAAGAATACTAATTGAAATTCTCAAAATATACTTATTGAAATCTGTTAAATCCAAACTCCAAAACTCCATAAGTTACAACTCGGGAATCCATTTAGTGGACCCCTTATTAAAATCCCAAAAGAAACTAAAATATCTGAAATAAAAGCTAAAGAAAAACATAGCAAAGATTCCTACGTAGTCAGAGGAATGAATGTCTGTATCTGCTCTGCACGTCTAAGCTCTAACCCTGGAACTGACGAACACCTGAAACATAAGAGAGTGGGTCAGACCCACATGCAAGTCCTATTCTACTACGATCCAAACAGTAATCCGATACGCAGATACATCCTAGAAAGACTCAACAATATCTAGAGTAGTCCATATGTATATATATAGTACACACTACAGGACGCTCACTAGTCCAATAGGTTTGTCTCAGCCTAAGTAGAGATACCATGCAAATCGCACATAATGTGGTCATGTGTACCTAAACCTACCAGGGAACAACATCTATGTCCAGTTATCCATCCTAGGC